TACTTGCAACTGTAAATAAATGAAAAGACTTGTCAAGAAACCCATTTATTGTGACATGTATACTGATTGTAGAACGTAAATTGTAACTGCAAAAAGTAGTAAGATGTGACCTGATAATGAGAACTGTTATATGTCTCGCAAATCGATGAGTACTGTGACATGTGAAATATGCAATGTGATTTTTCATGTGACTGCATAATATGAAATGTGACTTGTGACTCTATTAGGTGAACCGTGACTTATTTGTGACTAATGAAATGAAAACTTACATCTAGGTCAGAGAAAACCTCTTCTTCAAGTTTAGCACCAGATGACAGTTTATCTGATCTCCAATTCAAGATATGTGGGTACCTCCTCCGAATCCTAGAATTTACAATCCCATCTAGTCGTGGAATAGACTCGTAAATCCAAAATTGGAAGGCAACTATAAATCCTTTGAGTCTGTAATGAGAATTTCTCTTACTCAAACCATTTTTCAGCGAGTTTATGGAAAGTTCGAACAAATCTTTCGCTCATGGAAACATTTTCATAGTATCAAAATCTTCAACAAGAGCAAACTAATAGTTCTCAACAACCTTTTTCTACGAGGTCGAGAAAAGGTATGATGTTATCAAATAAAGAATCCAAATCATAACCACATCATGATCGTCTGCATTCGTTAAACCAAGGAAGATGTCTCTAACATCTTCATTTGTCACTAAGTTCAAGTGTCCAAAATGTTTTTCCTTAATCCTTGACCGTGCATTCTTAAGACTTCGCCTTACATCCTTGCTGTGTTACCTAAGTCCTGTGACTATACAGAAGTCAGGCAGAGAAAATCGTAGATACTTACCAGCAATCATAAATCACATCTCCTTTTTGTTCGGTTGCTTCACCTCCTGTGGTAGAAAATAATGGATTAGATGAAATTGAATAACTATCTCCCTACAATCCAAGAAATAGGAGAAGCAAGTATTAGCTTGCATCTGTCTTTGTTCAGAGTTGAATTTCGATGTAAAATTTGTCCGCACATGTTTGGTTGTATTCGTTATTATTTTACGAGGAAACCATATAGCCTTCGGTATTATATACTCTCATTCTTGCAATATATGACAAAAATAAAAAGACCATCGGTATTTTGATACATGTACATGCATTTATATCACACAAGAAGCATATCGCATGCAATTATTTTATCACAGACACTACTTAGGTCACATATAACTAATGTCACGGATTATATATAAATATAGGATTATTACAACCTCGTGATTCATCATAGAACTATAAACATTTCACAAATACATAATGAATTGCATTTAATAGTAAAAATGTGGTCACAATTAGGCAATTGGTCACGGTCAAAACATAAATCACAAAGAGAAGGTTGGTCACAAAAACTATTCAAAAAATACGGGTCTACATTCCCGGACAATTGAGATGGTCACAAAAACTATTCAAACAAACATAGAGGTCACACAGAGTATGCTGGTCATTATATCTCAAATAGAGTTATTTTGAAATGAGGTCACAACTTCTAACATTGTGTGACTACCCAAACCATAAACACCCAACAAATGTGAATATGAATTTTCCATTAACTAAATCAGATAAACAATTGATTTTAACTTTTCAAACAAATAAACCCTCATAATATGCTCCAGTCGAATTTTTCACAAAACGAGGTCACAAATTCTAACATTGTGCCACTACCCAAACCATTCACACCCAACATATGTTAAATATCAATTTTCAAATAACAAAATCAGATAAAGATTGATTTACCTTTCGAACACTAGTATTTTGCGATTTTGGTGGGGTTTTACGGCTGGTTTCAGGTATCGTATCTTTACTTCCTTTCATCCTTTTTCTTTTCTCTGTTTTTATTCTAGATTTCTCACCCATCTTATCTCGAATTTTGGGATCATTGCTCCTTGTTAAAATCATTTTCAATGTCTCGTATTTTTTGAAAGATTTGTGAAAACCAAATGTTGTGGACGCCGAGGTCACAATGTGATAATAGGGAAGAATAAAATGGGCTTTATAGATGAAATGTAGAATATCGCTATTCAGTTTATGAAGAGGGCGATCGTGAATTTTGTGGGTGAAATGGAGGTTTTAACTTGGAAGGGTTCTTCTGCTGAGATAGGTCATAATATGATAATGGGGAAAGAAGATAATGGGTTTTGTTGGGGTGAAATGGAGTACACCGCTATTCCATTTATGGAGAAGACGATCGTGGGTTTCGTATGTGAAATAGAGGTTTAACATGGAAGGGTTTTACGCATTTGCATTAGGGAGTTTATTATGTATATAATATTCTCTCTCATGTTTTGATATACATCACTATTTTGGTTTCCAAGATATACGGAAATCAAATTTGGTAAATATATACATTTTTATAACAACATTGGGTCTTCAGGTCCATTTAGTCTCCACATGCTAATTTTGTGATTTTTATTTTATTTTATTTTAAAAATTACTCGGTTAAGTTTCGGTTCGACTTTTTGACCCTTGACCCTTTTCTTTTGCCTAGTCAATATCCAGATCAATTTTTAAAACATGGATTCCTATTGTCCTCCTCCCATCTATTTCAAATCATGTACATGTAATTTTATCTAAACAGCTGTAAGAAGAAACCAGCAATTTTCAATTATTTGATGAGGTTTTGAAGAAGAAGACAAGAAACCGCGTGGATTGCTACCAATCAACTCATCACGCTCTTAAATGACGTTGAAACCGCAACCAATATCTTTGTTGTTTTGTGGTTGACTTTATATTTTTTACATATATTTATCAAATAAATCTCTTCTGAGAGTGATTTATTTTTCTAAAATCAGAATATCTGTTATAGTAGTATCATTTTTAAGTGGTGGTTAAATTCAAATTAAACCATAAATTACATAATCTAGTTAGATTAATTCATAAGAAAATGCGCGGTGTCATGCAATAGTTTAATTCATAAGAAAATGGCATTTTATACTGTAGAAAAGCTAGCTAGATGCATTACTTTGATGACACAGTTGGGTACCATTGAAATTATTCAACATATTAGCATCAACGAATTTAATAACACAGTTGGGTTATTTAAATTATTCAATATATTAGCATCAATGATGTGACAAATTCAATAATTAAATGACGAGATATATTAGCAGTTTAGCACCAATGATTGTGCGTTTTATTCTTGCTAAGTTTTAATGAGATTGAAATTTTGGCTTCAAGGAAATGTGTGCTAAATTAATTTAGACCTTAGCATAAATAATTTTTTCCTCTTATTTGGCATAGTGGCATCTCTAATGTGAACGTGGATTTCACTAAAAAAATATTGTCATAGAAGTTATAAACAATGATAGATTATGTCTAGCTTACACGATAAGAAAAAAGTAGATATTATCACGTCATGTAAATATTCTTCTGTATGAAGCAAGTCACGTTAATATTTCTCTTTATTTTTCAATCCTATTACTTATCTTTTCTCTTTTACTAGAGATGAAATTTGAATTAAGTCACCTCTTCATCAGACATTAATGTCACGGAGATCAAATATTTTTTTTTTTTATTTAGATATCACTTAGATTACAATCAATAGAATGCATTGAACATGCTTTTAGCTCAATATTAAAGCGTGTGCCTAATAACTGCACCATTGTTTCAAGAATGCGAGAGCTTTCAAATACATGAAACAGTTCAATGCGCTCTCAATGCTCGATCTTGTAGTTTATTCAAGACATATTAGCATGGCATACTTCTCCTACTCGAATAATTGGGGTTATTCGAGCCGTGTAGGGTAATTTTTCTTGTAAATTTAAACATCTAATCAAAGCTCACGAGCTCCTTATTTGGTAATAATATTTTGACTGGTTGACAAACATACTATTTTAGTTGAGAAATGTTATTTGTATGGGCTGTTTTTATAGATTGGTTTACAGAATGCAAACTGACATGAATTCATTGGATTTTGGACAAAAAACAAAGTTAAACAAACCAACTAAATTCTGTCATCTCAGCACCTGTAAATCCATCTATACAAAAAATCTGTCCGAGTAGCATCTTTTATTTTAGTAACTTAGATATAGTTATTTATGATCCGGTTACAGAAAAATTAAGTATAGAACCTGTAAATTTCCATTAATAGTGTATAATTTATCAGATCTAAATCAATCACTTGGTCAAACTTAACTAAATGTGTTGAAATTTGTATCGGCTGAATTTATTGGGTATTATATTTTAGTCACTAAACTTAATATTCTTGAGAAATTAGTACTAAACTTTTAGTTCATTTTATTAATCGCTATACTCAACTCCCTCTATGGAACAGAAATCCCAAGTTGAATAATTTCAGGAATCAAGTAGTAAGAGAACTTGCACATGAAGATTTTGAGATTAAGTCATGTTTGAGCCACATTAAAATTCTCATTCTCATTCTGCTATTCATTTTCGACCACACATTTTTCAATAAAATAATATTTTCCATCACTTCAACCACATATTCTTCATCAATCTATTATTCCAAAATACATTCTTCTAAAATAATGAAGCTCAAACACACCTATCTTTATTCTCCAAAATCTGATTTTGATTCAAAGATTTATCGAACATTTTTGTTTTTGTTTTGATGTTGGAAATTAAGTTGGAAGAGCACAATCACAAGTTATAAAACAAAAATTATGTTGGACCACGAATTCCACACAAGTTATAGTTCCGTATCCCAATATCATTCCCCGTCTATATATACACTATAGTTGCACCTACCCACCCACTCACTCACTTACTTCACCAAATCAATGTGTTTTTTTGGATATCTCTATCTCTATCTCCATCTCCATCCCTAAGCCCTATACACCTCTAAACCTTCCCCAAGTCACACATAGGTAGTACTCGGAATGATTTTGAATATATAAAAACTAGCATTTTTTGGGATGGAGTTTTTCCTTCTTTTTTTAATTTTCTTCTCGCAATCGAATTTATGCTTCTCTGCAAAGCAGTCAACATTGATTTTGCCACTCAAAACAAAGCAGATGCAAATTTCTTCATCTCCACCAAATAAGGTATCGTTCCACCATAATGTTACTCTCACCGTCTCACTAACTGTTGGCTCGCCTCCCCAGCAAGTCACCATGGTGCTTGATACTGGCAGTGAACTCTCCTGGTTACACTGCAAGAAAACTCCCACAACCCCATTAACGTTCAACCCTTCACTCTCGTCGTCATACCGTGCAATCCCGTGTTCATCGCCCACATGCAGGACCAGGACACGAGATTTAGCAGTACCGGTTTCCTGTGACTCGAAAAGCCTCTGCCATGTCACCCTCTCTTACGCGGACAGTTCCTCTGTTGAAGGTACTTTAGCCTCAGACACGTTTAATATTGACAATTCGGATCTACCAGGGACGGTGTTCGGGTGCATGGACACGGGATTCAGCTCCAACATAGAGGAAGACTCCAAGACTACCGGACTAATTGGCATGAACCGGGGATCTTTGTCATTCGTTTCGCAAATGGGATTCTCCAAATTTTCCTATTGTATTTCGGGTCGTGATTCATCAGGCATTTTGCTCTTGGGAGAAGCTCATTTTCCTTGGCTAAAGCCATTGAACTACACACCATTGGTTCAAATATCAACACCTTTACCATATTTCGATAGAGTTGCATACACGGTTCAGCTCCAAGGAATATCAGTATCTGGTAAAGTTCTTCCTTTGCCAAAAGCCACGTTCGAGCCCGACCACACCGGTGCCGGACAGACTATGGTCGACTCCGGTACACAATTCACGTTCTTGCTCGGCCCTGCTTACACTGCATTGAAAAATGAATTCTTGAATCAAACTAGAGGTGTTTTAAGGAAATTAGAAGATCCCAATTTTGTTTTTCAAGGGGCAATGGATTTGTGCTACAGAATTGAGCAGAACAGAAGAGTTTTACCTCCATTGCCAAGTGTGAATTTGATTTTTAGAGGAGTCGAAATGAGTGTTACTGGGGAGAAATTATTGTACAAAGTTGGAGGCGCAAGCAGGGGAAGTGATTCAATATATTGTTTCACATTTGGGAACTCAGATTTGCTGGGTGTGGAGGCTTATATTATTGGACATCATCACCAGCAAAATATGTGGATGGAATTTGATCTTGCAAATTCAAGGGTGGGATTGGCTGAGTTTAGGTGTGAATTAGCGAATCAAAGATTACGACCCTAATCTTACTGTCTACTGTCCTTTTTTTTCTTTTCCCGATAAATTTATTATATATTACAATTGAAAAAATAGCAGAAGAGATCCCCGAACTTTGAGGCGTATTGCACCTTGTTCCCTTTTAGTAGCATTTAGATCCGAAAGAGAATTGTTAAGCTTGTCTATTAAGAACCAAAGTGCTACCAAATGAAAGATTGAGGACATCAATGTTTCGCTTTGAAGAATGTAGACGATGTATCTTTGAATTTTTAGTGAAATTTAAATTTGACCACTTAACTTTAATTTGTCGCAATTAGGTTCATCGAACTTTTTAGTGAAAACTCAATTCGGTCCCTTAACTTTAATATACTGCAAGTTTAGTTATCTAATTACCTCAATTGAGATTTCACTGAAACTACAAGGACTAAAAAAGAAATTAACCCAATTAACCTTTGTTTTCATGCTAAGCCGCTTTGTTGTATGAGAGTTTAGATATGTTATTACATACTTATTGTGCCTTTAATACATTTTTGTCGTATCTTATTGTCATCTCTTTGAACATCAAGGTGTAATAATGTTTCGAGGTGTTGGTGTTTTCCTTTTTATTATAGAAAATGTGAAGTATTGAGATATTAAAAATATGGTGATTACCATTTACCAGCAGATAATGTCCTCATCTTTCATTATTATTGTGAAAAAAGTCTGTATTTTTCATTTTTTTGGCATATCACCATTATTTTTACCCTTTATTGTGCAAAATGTCATTTTCATCTATTTTCTCAATTAAAAATTGTGAAATGACAAATATATCATTTTCTTTAAATAATACAAAAAGAACAAGAAAAAACTAATTACAATCATAGTTCCAAATTCTTTTTAAAAAGGCAAATAAGT